ACTTACACATGGCTTTCTCAGCCCAAACAGCACTGCCACCTTCAACCAAACCCAGGTAGTTATATATTGTTTATGTTTACAAAAACATGAAAAGCAGTCCCCAAATTCCATTTTTCATGTTATTTTGTCAATTTTAAGGGGTTTCTCCTATAAAAAAAAAGTGCAGATAACAAACCATTCATTTTTGGATTAATTATCCCCTTAATACACTGAATTATGAACATATTATTTAATAAGACTATTGGGTCAAACATTAAGGGATTCACTTCTATTTCTCCCGGTACAATGGAGACATAAAAAAGTTTTTTTTAAATAAAAAAAGCTCTGTAGAGAAAAGTTTCTACTGATAATATCTGACAAAATATTTCAGAGAACTTCAGATTTGATGGTTTACTCTGAGAATGAAAATTAATTTCAGGAGACATGTTAATAAAAGTGAGTAACTTTCAATTCTCAGTTTAAAGGTTTGTTATTAAAGCAAAGCAGCATGTGAGAAAAATAATGACATCGCCCCGGCACCACAGGAAGTGACACTGTCTCCACAGGAAGCATTGATGTTCAGATGCTCCTCTGATAGTCAGGGATGGCTCAGGTTTGTCTTGAACCAGCCCCTAGTGAAGCTGACACAGGTCATAATTCTATTATTATGCACATAGGATCATTATCGTCACATCATGTATTAATATATTTACTTATATAAACCATCATATATTACTATTATTATTGTTTTACATTTATGGAGGTGTTCCTCTGGATTTAAAAGATAATTAAAAGGGATTTAAAATAAAACACACACACACACAGTTAATTTCCAATGAAATGTGAGTCGCGGTGCAGCATAGCAGAAAAAGCTTTTATTTAGTTGCTGGCTGAAGTCGCTCGACTCCAACGAAGGAACCAGAGACAACAATATGAATATAGGAGCTCTCAAAATTACAGCAGAACGGGGAGCTGGACATCAGATGTCCTCCGCTCTCGCCCTAACGACAGGAAACAGAGCAGCCGACAGAGTCTTTGCTCAGCAAATGACGCAACAGTGAGCCAATAATAATCATCAATCAATCAATTGATCGATCGGTCGATGGGTTATTGCAGTGATACTCCTACAGACGCTCCGCTCAGACTCTTCAGATGCATAGAAACATCCAGCTCTACAAACATGTAAAAAATACAACTTAATGTGAGTAAATCTAAAGTGAAGAGTTTCTTTACTGTCGAATGAAGGCAGCGTCCGTCAGAGAGAGAACTCAAGGCAGAACGTGACTAACACCACCCTCTGAAACAAGCAGCAGGAAACAAACATGTCCAACTGATCCAGGATCAGCTCCAGAGCCCGGCGGGGTCGCTGTGGAGACACGGCGAGGACAATCCAGTTCTGAGGTTTCAAATCAGGAAATCATGAAATCAGAGTCTCTCAAACTAAATCTGGATCTTCAAATGTTTCTAACTCAGCTGACACAGAAATAAAAACTCTGAAATCAAAATCAGCGCTCTGGATCCCCAGTAAAAATACTGGTTCAGACTAACGATTAAACTAGTTCAGATTGGTTTTAACCAAGTGTCACACTGTGTGTTTAAACACAAACACAACTCGCAGTGACTTTGACGTCAGAATTTAAAAACTAAACTCAGATTTTTTTTTTCTCTTTTTGAAGTCATCTCTTTTTTCTTCCTCAGAACTAATTTGTCCCTCGTCGTCTTCCGTACTTTGCCTTGATGAAAACAAAGAAGGTGAAATACAGGAAGTGGAAAAGCGAGTGCAGCTGTGTTTGGGACAGGCGGGCGGGGGTGGCGGGGGGGGAGTTCAGGTGAAGAAGGACATCCCTCTGATCATCTCCAGTCCCTCCTGGTGTCCTCAGGTGAGGGGGCGGGGCCGTGGCGGGGCCCGCCTCGCCCTCGCTCTCGTCCCTGGACTCTCTGGGTTTCAGTCCAGCTCAGTCGAAGGGGCTGAAGTCCCTCTCCAGGTTCTCCGACTCGTCGTCGTCGGAGAAGAAGTCGTCTTCATCGATGTCGTCCTCATCGTAGTCCTCGTGCCACTCGGGGACATACTCTTCATCGTACTCATCGTCCTCGTCCTCTGCCTCCTCACCGCCCTCCTCACCTGCGTAGTTATTGTTGTCAGAGTCTCCGGAGTCTGACGCTCGGTCCGACTTTGATCTGACAAACAAAGTCAACATTTGTTTATTATTATTTTAAATGATCTTGCATCATTTTATCAGTGTGAGACATCAGGACGAAGACATCAGGAGATGAGGACGTTACACTCTGCTGTGACCTTTACAATGGAGACGCACTCGGCCTTCATCACAGCACATGATAAGAATATTTAAAATGATAATAGTAAAATTAATGATAATAAATACACTGAAAATACAAGAAGCATTCAAATTAAATTAAACTTTATTTTGTATTTTATTTAAATCAAATTTGTATTTATATTTTTTCTAATTGATATTTTTCACAATTGTTTCAATTAAATCATCTAAACTAAACTAAATTCATATTTTTCGTCCATTTTATCAACTTTTTCACAACATTTCAACGTCACACTTTGTTAACAGATTTTGGACATTTCAATAATGTTTTTTATTTATTGATGAACACGTTAAACTTTGCTGAAGCCTCCGACGTCTGAACCACTGTCATAATTAATTTATTATAAATATTTAAAAGCAAAGAGAGGATTTCCGCACACTTACATCTGTGCAATACTTCACTTTAATGTGAGCTTTCGGTCTAGGAGACCTTCATCAGAGTGAGTACGCTGCAGACGTAAGTGTGCGGAAATCCTCTCTTTGCTTTTGGACTTTTTTGTTTCCAGCACCTTAATCAAGACTGATCCAGGTTGAGCAGTGGTCCGGCTGCAGTTTCTACATTATAAATGTTTAAAAAAGAACCAAAATTCTGTTTTCAGATTCTCAGATGTGAATTTTTCTTCTCTGACAGTGAAATTAATGTCTTTAATGTTGAATGTGTAAAAATAAACTTTATTTATGAAGGAGGAGGCTCTGTGCTCACACTTTGTTGGCGGCGTCGGTGTTGTTGGACAGGTTGGAGCTCTGAGTGGATTCTGGTTCCTGACTGCTCTTTGACTGGTAACCAACCCTGAAGTCCTGAAACACACACACACACACACACACACACACACACACACACACACAGAGGAAGTGTCACTGTATCATACTGGGACTGAACTGGTCTGGTGTCACACTGGTCTGGTGTCACACTGGTTCCCAGGTGTCTTGGGACTGGTTACCTGGGTGGAGTGCTGCAGGATGGCCAGCAGGCGCTCCTGGATGCGTCGGATCAGTTCCAGTCCGGTGGTGAGGTGTTCTGGTTTGAGCAGGCGGACACACGAGGCCAGGTCAGTGCACTGCAGCAGAGTCTCCTCTGGGGACACAGAGACAACCAGTTAGACCAGTTAGACCAGTTCAAAGAGCAGACACTGTGTCTGTGATGTTGGGAGTCTCACCCAGCAGGATCTGCAGGGCATTGGTGTGCAGGTCCAGAGCCTCCGTCTGCTGCTCCATCACATCCATCTTCTCCGTCTCCTGGTTGTAGTAGCTGTAGACGCAGGAGTAGGCCAGCACCTGGAGACAGAGGGCAGGACACAGTTAACACACTACTACTCCTCTCAGATCTGCCAGCAGGACCACAGGCTCATGGTGACAATGATGATGACGGTTACCTTACGAGCCTGAGCGAGGACCTTACAGGCGTCGATGACGAAGGTCAGAGACTTCATCTGCAGAGCTTCGTTAATCGACGACACTTTGTTCTCCAGGTTGATGGCGAAGTCCTGTGACAGAGACGTCAACATGAAACAGATGATTCTGTCTGCTCACAGAACTTCCTGTCACTTAACACCTGAGGCTGGACGATGACGCAGGTCCTGGAGTTAGCGAGGTAACTCCAGGGTTAACTCTGGGTTTTCAGTCCGACGACGCTGATTCTATTTTTACCGAGATGTTTAACCGTTTGTTTAATGTGTGTTTAACGTATGATTAACATTTGTTTAACATGTGTTTAATGTGTTTAACGTGTGTTTATTGTGTGTTTAACATGTGTTTAATGTGTTTAATGTGTGTTTAACATGTGTTTAATGTGTGTTTAACATGTGTTTAATGTGTGTTTAACGTGTGTTTAATGAGTGGTTAATATGTGTTTAATGTGTGTTTAACGCACGTTTAACGTGTGTTTGATGTGTGTTTAACGAGTGTTTAACGACTGTTTAATGTGTGTTTAACTTGTTTAATGTGTGTTTAGTGTGCGTTTAACGTGTGTTTAATGTGTGTTTAACGTGTGTTTAATGTGTGTTTAATGTGCGTTTAGTGTGCGTTTAATTTGCGTTTAATGTGTGTTTAGTGTGCGTTTAATGTGCGTTTAGTGTGCGTTTAACGTGTTTAATGTGTCTTTAATGAGTGGTTAACGTGTGTTTAACGAGTGGTTAATGTGTGTTTAACGTGTGTTTAATGTGTGTTTAATGTG